TCGCCGACGCGCTGCGGCTGGCCGGCTCGGCCGGCGCCGGCCCGCAGCCGACGGCCTCGAACCTCCCGTCGCCCGGCATCCTCAAGGGCAAGCACGGCTCGATCCGCCTCATCCTCGCCAATGTGCTCAAGGCCAAGTATGTTCACATCCTCAAGCCCGGCGCCAAGCTTGTGTACGATCGCAACGACGCGGCCAAGCTCTCGTTTGAAAGCTTTATGCTCTGCGTCGTCTACCACGAGCTCTACCACGGGCTCGGTCCCAAGCGAGTCTCGCTCGAGAGCTCGCCGCACTACGGCAAGCTCATCAACGCGGCCATGGGCCCGATCCACTCGCCGCTCGAGGAGGCCAAGGCCAACATCGGCGGCTTCTGGGGCCTGCTGCGCATGCTCCGCCGCGATCCAGCCACCCTCCCCTTCCCCGACGGCATCGAGGACGTCCTCGCGGACGTCAGCATCGGCTCGGTCTGCCATACCTTTGTCGCCTCGCTCTTCCGCTCCATGCGCTTTGGCCTCCACGAGGCCCACGGCCGGGCCGCCATGCTCCAGTTCCACTTTCTCCTCGCCCGCGGCGCCATCACCACCGCCATCTCGCGCTCGGTCTCGCTCGACTCGATCGCTGGCGTCGCCGACGCCGAGTACGACTCGGACGACTCGGGCCTGTCCGAGGACTGGAAGCCGACCTACGCCCGCACCTCCTTCAAGGTTCATCCCGACAAGCTCTACAACTCGGCCTACGCCCTTCTCGGTGAGATCATCGCCGTCCAGGCTGCTGGCGACACCGCCGCTGGCGCCGCCCTCCTCGACGAGTACGCCTCATCAGTCGCTGTCGACGCCGCCATGGCCCTCGAGGCCATGGCCCGTATCCCCACAGACATCCGCCCAGACTACTCCAACCTCCGCTCGCTCCTCCGCAGCAACATCGCCTCGGCTGGCTTCCGCGACTCTATCCTCTCCGACGACGATTCGGACACTGACCATGACTCGGACTCGGACTCGGACGACGGCGAGGACCACGATGAGCTCTCCGACAACTCCGGCGACGACGATGACGACGAGGCCTTTGTCAGATAGCAACCAGTGTGTACCATGCGCCCGTCCCCATCACCATGACACGTTTAACACCGATCCAGCCGGCGGCTGCCAACGACAGCTGGAACCTGCCGACTCTTGCCGACGCTTACCCCGCCTACTTACGCCTGCCCACACCTACTCACACCGGGCTGCGTCTGCTCCCCGCCTGCGGCAGCCTGATCAACATCTACGGCACTGCAGCCATCAGCTCCGATGCTTGCTTTTCTTTTCCTTGCTCTTGCTCTTGCTCTTGCCCTTGCCCTTGCCCTTGCCCTTGCCCTTGCCCTTGCCCTTGCCCTTACTCTTGACCTTGGCCTCTTCAATCACCTCGATGTCCACCCCGAGCGCCTGGATCAGCTGCGACTCGAGCGACGAGACCCGCTCGGTGAGGAGAGCCACCTGCGACTGCAGATCGATCATGGTCTGGATAACAGTCTCCTTCAACTCGAGCGGATCATCCGAGTCCGAATCTGCATCCGCATCCCCATGGCCCCAACCTCAGCACCTCCATCAGTCATGTCCTCTCAGTCACGCCCTTGCTCCCTCCTCCGCTGCTCCTCCCGTTCCCCAACCCACCAACCCTCGCCAACCCACTTCCACCTCCACCCTAACCCGCTTCATCTCCCAGTACTATCCCCCCCCTTCCCCTTCCCTCCCCCCCCTCCCCCTTCCCCCCCTTCCACTCCCCTCACTCCCTCTCCATACCATGGTACTTTGTGCGAGGCATGGCGGGCGACAACGGACAGACGAGTGGTCATCCGCCACAGACCACAGGCCACACGCCCAACTCCCCCCCGCCCTCCCCTCACCTGCATCCGATGATCATCACCCAAAACGTGGCACATTTTACACGACAGCAATCAGTCGACGATGGCAATCGAGAGCAGGCCTTGCGGCTTGTAAGGGTACGGAAGCTTGCCAAAGGTGTTGTTGTGGACGACGACGCCGAGGTCGTTGACCAGAATCTGCCACACCTGCTTGATGTCTGCCGGCCACGAGTGGACACAGCCGTGCGAGTTGGGCAGCGGGAGCGAGGGGTCAAAGTCACCAGTATGCATAAGGATGCCGTCGCGGATGTCCGAAATGAGGAAGGCGGCGTTGCCGGCGAGACCCTGGACCGCCCGGTTGACCGGGTACGGTCCAAAGTCCTTGACGTCCTCCTCGGGCGTGTTGAGATCAAAGGTCATGAGCCCAGTCGGCGTCGAGCCGTCCCCAGCAAGCATGTTGAGCGCCGTGCCGTCCGCCGCATTCTGCCCGTGAGTCTTGACCGGAAACGAGAACCGCAGGTTGTTGTCGGCATCGTACAGCGAGGCCGAGACCTCGACCGACCGGTTCTTGAACACCGGGATGTACACCTTGTACTTGAAGCCAGGAAGGACCGTGCCCGAGTCCTTGTATCCGTCGTACATGTGGAGGTCGAGCAAGAGGTTGGTCGTCTCGGCGCCAGCGATCCCGTCGTCGCTCAGCTTGTTGCCACTCTGGAACGCCTCCACCGCGTTCTTGGTCGCCTCGCCGTACTCGCCCGACGCCACAAGGCCTGACACGTGCGGCGACCGTAGCAGCAGCGACTGGAGAATCGTCACATCCGAGCCCTTCATCAGCTGCGGCGGCGTGTACGACAGATCGCGCGAGAACGGCGCCGTAAACTGGGCGCCCTGTCGCCCTCCACAACCGACAACACGCATGCAAGCACGCACACAAGCACACCAA